CAGGTAGTAGCAGAACCGTTATGTTATGGCTTTGACGGGTAAAAGCCTGTACTGGGATGTGAAAGGCGTATGATATATTATGATTCGTCGAATACTCCGCCTCAATTCTATTTCGAGAGAACCACAGTACTTAGTGAGACGACGGCCAGCCATTCAATCAGAAGTTTGCTTCAACTTCGTTCAATCTGCAGCAAAAAGAGTCCTTGCAGAATATTGATGCAATATCAGGGCACAATCTAGATTCCGTCGAATCGAGAGAGCTATCATGTTTGAGGAAAAGATACCGGTTGTCCGAAATCAAGCTTCCCGAGGTTCTCACGGAAATGTTATCTGAATAGTCTCGAGAGAGAAACCATTACTCGGCCTCGGAAATACAATGGCCCCACGATATCAGATGAAAGTATTGAAGTATCAGGGTAGTATTGCATGAACAACTGTCGACTTCTACATTTTAGTTTCGTTTGGTGTTTGACATTAATCAGACCAGAAGGGACCGGTAAAATGTAAAATGCAAAGGTCCGTACCGAATTTCTGTCTTGCGAGCCTCGATTGGACGATGTATTCTCCGAAAAGCCCTCGAAGGAATTTCTCGAAATCAGGAACCATTCTACTTCGTTATCGCTATCTGTCAAGTAGGTTGATCGATCGAATCATTCGTCAGGAAGATCTATCGTCGGGCTTTCATTGGCCCTTGCCACCAGAACACAGAAAGGCACAAGTAAACATCAATCACGACATTTCAAGTCAACACGAAGGTTACATACCTACTACATGTTCATGGCTGCAAATTTCACACAACACCAAGTATCTTGGTAGTAACACCTTCTTCCTGTACGAACAATAGGATGTTTTCCCCGGTATGATATAATAAATTCTCCTAGCCTTGTGATCGTTATACACGATTTTGTTTCTTTTCATCCGCGAGTCCAATACCTAGATGATGCAATCATCCGTCGGTGTCCAAGTTTGGCAATCCGCATTCGCGCAGCCCTACCACTCAATCATATCTCCATTTAAAGGCACGCTTAGGAGGTAGTGACTTCTTGAGGCTGCCTGAAAATTGAAGTGTCCATCAAATGTGTAGTTCACGGGATCATTGATACAATGCGTTGGCCATGCATTGTGTAGCAGAGACAAGAAACTCGTATGTTGATCAAGTTTCCATCGATTCAAATCATCATGAAGTCCAAGACCAACATGAATGTTGGGGGAATGTTCCGAGGTATCATTAAATCGTTTTCCAGTTCACTGAAAAAGGTCTGGAGCGCGAACTATGATAGATGAATATCAATCACTTCCGGAATCAACAATATCTCCAGATGGCGCTGGTCAACAGCTCTGTTCCGATGATGTCCCGATGGAAGATCTTTATGAAGATAATTCAATCAAGGCAAACGCCAAGTATCTAATGTATCATGGTTTATCCTTCTTTAAATCCCCCGAACTCACCAACATACTACCAATCTACATGGCACTCATGAAAACAAATATTTGTTTGAGCAGTATCCAAACCTTTGTTTGTAGATTGTCAATATCCGTGTAGTCTACGGCTCCCGAGTCGGCCTCATCTCCTGCTTTCTTCAGTTGGATGCGGCACAAGGATTGGGTTACTGCATTTCGCATTTGCAAGGTTTATCAAGGTGTTTTCCCAGCAAGTGCTCGATGAATTGTTTGTCTCCAAAAGACACATTTGCGCAAGGCATTTACAATGTTGTTGGCTGAGCGTTTGTGTCTCTGGACAAGCCTACTGATGTGTTCAAGGTTGAATTCCAGGCACATCATGATTCTTATTTTATTCAAAAATTCATCAGTACTTGATGCAGCAGACTTTTAAAAGCTCAGCCACAATGTAGCAATGTAGATGAGGCAATCGATTTAAGCATGAAGGTGACATTGATACGAGCGCAAAAGCATGCTCAAGCCACAGTGTCACAGAATCATGGCTCAAAGGTTGCGATTGCTTTTCAAATCCCTATTATTTGTTGTCGTCTCGGAATCTCCTCCACGAACAAGACTCCTGACAATATATACAAACGACCTTGCGGTGTCTAGGTATTGTATGGCTCTCCTTTGGAGGCTAAGGTTTCGGATGTGGAATATTTACATACGGATTTTCAATCATGTGTTTCATCTGTATAACAATTTCAATCACGATGGTAATCTAACAGTAAAGATGACAAAATGCTACGAGGAAATGGATAATGCAGTCTCAGGGAAAGACGAGGATTGAATGTCGGGCAGGAGAAGAAACCGTGGGCATGATTCAGTGGAGTAGACAAGTCAAAGAAACATATCAAGGAGTGTTTACACGTCTCTTGGGTGAAAAGCAAAAATTTAAAGTCTTACCGGGTGTCTTGCACATCAATAATGAGGCAGGTGTCCTTGTCACATGATTAGGTTTATCACATGACGTCTACCAGTTTCGTGCTCTTCTAAATGCGGAAATACTTCCACCTCTGAGTAGAATGAATTCATTCTTCAATACCAGTGTAGAAATTGGTCATCAAAGCCATAATTTTCGATGCTCTTGTTCTAAAAACCACGGTTTCTAGATAATATAACGTGACATGTTGATTGAATTAGAAAAGGAAGTGCCTGACTATCCTAGACCTTTACTCCGAATCCAATTAGAATGTTTCAATGGTCTAAAATTTTGGACTCTAGTTCATATGCTAACTCCTGAGAGCCTGCATTTGTCTTTTAGTTCAGACCGCCCAGATATTATACATCCTGTAAAGAAATCCTCTCAAAGGAACAAATCACAACAACTCCTCTAGTTCAAATCAAATCCTAGATTCAGATTGGCCACAGCACATTATCTAATTCAGATGATCAGGACTCAACACTCAGTCGTAGAAGGCTGTGAGCAGCTCTTGATTATGATTAGAAATTGCGGGGTAGAGGAATGATTGGATGTGGTAAGGTGAAATTTTGAGGGGAGACGAATTATGCTAGGGTAAGCCACCAATTGGATTTAGCATGTGAGATAGCCATCTTCAGGGTGACCAGGCAACTGATAAACTATCAGACGCGCAGGAATGAAATTGGCGCATGACGGAATTGTATTGAATGCTTGGCGAAGGTCCTTTTGCGGATACTGCACTCGGCTCGGATATCGACGAACTTGTGGGTGTGGCGTAGCGTAGTATGGAGATGATGGCGGGGGACACGAGATACGATGCGACGGGAAGAATGGTGAGGGATTTGGTGGTAGTCTGGTCGCGGAGAAACGACTGATATACTGTAGATGGAGACTAAATTTTGTCTCGAGGTCCTGTATTGCCACTAAAGAAGGAGTAGATTAGACTGACGATAAGTAATACTGAAGCGTATCTCCGACGTCTTAGTAGTGTTCGCACGTGAAGAGAATAGTATTAATAGCGGATGTAAAGCTTGAGAGACAGAAGCAAATAGCAGTGATGTTACCTATGGGACCTAAGGTATCATAGTGAATGCCTGTGAAATAGCTATATTTGTGCTCGTGCAGCGAGGGTGTATGCAACTCTACCATTGAGAAAATCAGTTTAATACTCTTCTGGTATATCATCTTGTGGTATGTGCATCTCGCTTTGGAATCGTATAATTTCTGGCAGTATAAGTGCTCGTAAGATATGGAGTGTTTAGTTTGCAGATAGATCTGGAGTTTGCTATTCGTTGGTGCGTTGCAATACTAAATGATAAGACATATGATATAGACATAAATAGAAGTACTTGGGAGTGATAGTCCCGACCTAAAAGACAAAATACTTTTGGCTTTGCATGTAAAGCACATATGGAAAGGTAAGGCACCACTTCCTGAGCACAATACACCAATAAGAAGAGGGGTTTTCATGTTATTCATGCAGTGCAGGCACTGAGCTAACTGACTTACCATCGTAGAGTGTTGTCAATAGCAATTGGGCAGAATCTGTTTGAAATTCCCGTTCTTGTAGCTTTTGACAGTAGCCAAGTTTTTGGGCGCATGGATGACGAATTGCTTTCTACTTAACTCCTTGGAGCCCGAAGCTAATCGGGAAGGCCGCGAATGTGCTGTATAGTATCTCTTCATGAATAGACTATTGTGAATGAAAGGGTTGAAGCAGTTAGTGGTGTATCACAATGACACAAGGCGCATGAATACCAACCACCAGAACTATTCATGATTGTGATTCTTCTTGTGGTCTTCCATGTGACTCAATCTATTCCTTTATGATCTATCAGACTTGATGTATCCGTCAGCCACTAACAAATCGGATATTAGATGGGTCAACAATCTTAACCCGCAAGTTCCGGGCCGCACCGCAGCCGTTGCGGAATACAAAGACTACAGATCTCGATGGGATGTGGGGTTCACTAGGAGTACAGCCGAGCTTCCGAAAGCACTATTAAGAGTATTGAACAGCGGGGTCGAGGAACATCATTTTAATCCAAAGAGGTAGTTTTCTCCCCACACTGTCACATAAGCGCTCGTTCCGATCCTCTAATAGTGATGGTTCGGTGCACATGTATATTCCCATTTCCAATTGGGAAAGTGGAGGTCGTAAATCACATGCACAGAGATGATGAAAGCATTTGTGGGAGATATCGGCTATATATCATTTCAATTCATCGTGTGATCCTACTCTCAGCAAAATTTTTAATTATTTCTCCTGGGCTGAACCTATCAATTCACGTACGGAAAACATTTCACTAAAGTCTGAACAATTTGCACTTTTCAATTCCCTGATATACATATTCCCTGCAGTACCTCATTTTATCCTCTGTCCTTTTCCAAATTTTCTGTTCCAAAAACAAAGAAAAGAAATTTAACGTAAGTAGTCCCTGTATCCAAATCTCAAATTATCCAAATTTCAAATGAAAACTCCACAAACAACGTAATCCCAACTCTATTTCGTATACTATCATCATATAGGTATCCCGGCGCGAGCCTATGTCTTAACTCCCTATAATGCAACTCAATAGATACTTAACGCCAAATTCACAAATTCATTGCTAATATGACGCAAACATTCGAATTAAGACTACCCACTCTCGTTTAGAAAAAAAGAATGGAGTGAGTGGTAGTAAGCATGAGAACCAGGAAGATCTGGCGCTATAGCTATATTCGTCGTAACAGGAAAGGACTGTACATTCTGCTCAGGAATTTGATGTTGTGCAAGCGTAATTTGAGAAGCAGTCTGATAAGATGGCGTGTTGGGTGGAACATCTGGTTGTGGGGCAACTGGCAATGGTACAACGACTTGGTTCAATGTCATAGGCGAGGATCGCAAGTCAGAGTACGAAGGAGTAGAAACTGAATCAGGATTTGGTATAGTTGGATTGAGTTTAAAGTCTCTGCCTTGCTCGATATCAAGCTCTGGAACTAATCTGGTCAGAGAGGATTTAAGAAAGAAATGTGACATGGCAAGTTCATGTAGTCTATTATGTGCTGACCTTGCAGCTATCGCCTATCGAAAGACAGGATTAACTTACCTCTGGACTTTTGATGTTTACACATCAAGTAAATAGTTATCATTGTGAGGATGGCGCTTGTAACACCAAAAGTTATATCGATAATATTATCAGCGCCCACTAAGAAGATGTCAGAAGAGAAGGGATGGAACCTGGTAGAATGTTTCAGCTTACACATTTTAGTATCTAGTATCATAAAAAAGTGTGAGATAATTTGAGAGCTTGTTTATCGGAGCTTAAAGTGTATGACTTCAACGATAGGAGAGACTTCTACTTGTATCTTAATCTTTATGTTGCAATGCCCTGACAGCCGCAATGGCTTATGTCTGCCAGATGAGTTGGCGAAATCCCACGTCCCGGAGAAAACATCGTCGTAGATGGAGGTGTGGCACATCAGCAGCAGAGCTTTGGACGTATCTCAAAACTTTGGTGATCGGAAGTAGACGCAAACTCAGCCCTTTCCAGGGGGAAGATCTCACCCGGCTAATTGCATTATATGACAATAGTCCTCCGTCTTAGATTCATGGTAGGAGACATTCGTTACCATGTAAATGATCCCTCTTGGTGTCAATGTGTTGGGAGTCATGAGGGACTGAAAATATTGGAAATCTCGTCACAACATCCAAGTTGTTGGTGAGGAGAAGCAGCTTTCTCGCCTGGTGTAACAGTGCATTATTATGCTAGCCATTCCTGCCTGAAAGTGGGGGTATGACGGCTGCAAACAACATTACCTCTTCTTACAAAACGGACTGAAAATTGCGAATCTGTATAGCATCGTCGAATCAGGCAGCGAGGATTTTCTATGAAAAATTGAAATCGCGACAAGATCATGGCGATCAAAGTCGGTGAATGACCCTGCCGCAATACCCGTGTGATCAAAAACTTGAGGCTCTTGAGATCAAAAGTCTTTTGCTCAATGATAGTGGTACAGCATTCACATCTTTTGAAAACTCCACACTATCGGCAAAACTGAGAGGCTGTGTTGTGGATGGTGCCTATGGTTCTGAACTTCAAAGATTGTTTTGTACAACATCATTCTGCGAGTGCATAGCCACAAATTATATTTATTCACATCCTCACATCTTTCACCAATATCGAACGTATGTCGTCACGAAGGCCTTATATCAGTGGGAAGTCGGGATCCCCGCACGTCTTGCATATAGATCCTCAATACGTTCACCCGAAAAGGTTCACCCGAATCTATTCGCTTGCCCAAGCTAACTTTGGGGTTGCAGTGATTAACGGCACGGACCGAGTGACCACTAGAGCAACATAAACGCTCGAACGTGCCGATCAGCTGTAGCTGTATAAGAATTGCTATTAAAAAGCTAGCACTAGTGTTACCAGGGCTAGTGTTTCAGCCTCAATCGTCTTTATTTTGCGATTATGGAAAATTCTTGCAAGTTGCCTAATACCACTCATGTGGACGTTCGTGTTCCTTGAATGGAGGAGAAACCCCTTTTGAGACCGAGTATTTCGATACTTTACATAGCCCTCAATAAGCAATCTACCACATTGCTGTAGAGATTAGACAAGGTGTACTGAATCTTTGGACTCGAAATATAAACCACGAGTAGTACATAATTCGAATCTGTCCAGTTATCAAGTCTCAGCTTTACATTGACTCTTCGCATTCGTTGCTGCCAAAAAGTCGGTGAAACTTCACACGTTATAATGAGGCGCAGGCAAAGTACCTACAATTGATGGTATGAGAGCAAAGGACGATCGTGGAAGGGGAAAATATTAATACTTCGAACGCTTATGAGAGTGTCAACCAGAACTCAATTAAAATTCGGATTCGGATTTTCTGTGTACTGCAGGGGCCTGAGAATAATTGGGCATGGCCGAGGTGCGATGTAACTTTAAGTGCATTTGGCCCTCAGTGACCGTCAAAGTACGATTCAAACCCGAAAAAATATGCAGGTGCTCCCCTCTAGGACGAATCAACTTATTTGAGATGCACACAAATTTGAAACGAATTGATACGTAGCTTATCACCACTCGAGTAGCTATCGTGCTGTAACAACTCAGCACACACGAGATTGACGTCAGGGAGACTATGACTAGTCTTCTTCCTTGCTTGAGAGCCTCAAGTCTTTTGGATACGAAAATTCTATAAAGATTCCAAACGGTTCTTGAAAGTAAGTGAGCGCTAGCCCATATCTATCGAGGCGTAGGACGCATGGTGAGATTGCGCAAATTGTCTTTACTTGTAAAGACGATTAGAGACTTGATTGCCAGTTGTAGAAATGGCATTCGAGTTGGTTGTTTTGGTACATTTTGAGTTGTATTGAAGTATAAAGTCATGATGTAGATGTAGGTTACAATAAATAGCTGCTTTGTTTGTCGCTAAGATAAACAAACTAATAAACTAGAGAGGTGGAGACGCGACGCGCTCAATCATCTACCACCCACAGTATCTGATACCACCACGAAAAGTTTCACGAAATTCGATAAACGGCCTTCTACAGGTTCGAATATTCAATTCAATAATAAGTAGTCCCTTAATATCTTTGCAAAATGCCACGCCCAAAACGCACAAAAGTCACTCGTCCCAATGCGACTGCGCCTGCCCCGCGCGTCATAGAATCAACAGAACTAGTCGAGTCGGAATCTTTACCAGCGGCAGCTCCAGCGGCGCGTCCTTTCGACGATCTATATGATGTTAGTGATGGGGAGCTTGAGAAATCTGCGAATGCGACGAAATTGGCAAAAGGAAAGTCTGTTGCAACACGAAGCAGTGGTCGCAATGCATCGCGCAACATCGAGAATACAGAGTCTAAGAAAGCTGCCAATACTATAAAGCCTAAGAATGCGCTGGAATTAGAATCAGACGATGATACGCGGATATCTAGTAGTCCGGAAATTGAGGCTGGGAGAAGAGGTCGACGTACATCTGCCATGGACAATTCTGTACTTGCGATTGGGAATTTTCGACGAAGGGCGCGCGAACCAAGTATTTTAGGACAACAAACCACACGAGCTCGATCAAGCAGCATAGACTCAGACTTGGCAGAAGAGAATGGTCTTACTAGTGTTGGCAAGAGGAATACATCTGGGCTAGGAATGGGAACATTTAGAGGACGCGCTGGATCTAGGAGACCAAGTAGTGTGGGTGGAGACAGGCCAGAAATCGGATCTGTATTGCGACTTGGTAATTTCAAAAGAAGAGCTCGAGAACCTAGTATTTTGGGAACGGCGCGGAAACCAGAACAATCAAGACCTACCTTCGATTCCGATTCCGATTCCGATGGTTTTGCGCCCGAAGACGAATCAACACCTTTAAACTTTGCCAAGGGAAGAGCTGTGCCTTCATCTTCGAGTTCAAGAAAGCGGAAATTGTCTAGTGTACAGGTTCCACGTTCACAAGATGCTACGCAGACCCAGCAGAGCCCTTCCAAATTACCTAAAAACGATTCAGATCCCGAAGATGCAATTCCTGCGACCGCGCCGATAGATAGTGACGAAGACGACGATGTGGACGAGCTACCAGAATTAGAAAAAGAGCCTTCGCCTGAAGATTCGCCATTATCATCAATAGAACGTATTGCGACACCTGAGCCTATGAGTGAAACTATGGCACCTCCACGTGGTGGCAGTTCCTCTCTTTCGCCTGCTCAATCTTTACCATCACCTCCGCCACCTCCTCAACCTACTTTAAATACGCGTCAAGCAGCTACTCGATCTCGACGTATAATAAACCCACGAACTCCACCGCGTGTCTCAAATGCAGAAATGCACTCCTCTCCTATATCTTCCCCGCCATCACTCACACATTCACCCGATATACCCACACGCTCCACACGGCTACCGCGTAAAGCTGCACCTCAACCTGCAACTTTATCTACTGCAGCCCTACAAGCTCTACTTCCAAGACGTCGTCACCGTCACCGATCCGCTTTAGACATGGAATCCTCTGACAGTGAGGTGGACACTACTGGACTTGGCGAGCATGATGACGAATTGACCATAACAGTCGCCCCAACTAGCCGTCGTCAAGCTTCTGCTCGCCCTACTACCGGAGCATCTGCTACAACTTCAAAACTTACACAAAAAGCTAAGGCTGCCGCTAAAGGTAAAGGGAAGAGAACCTATGGAAGGAAACCAGCACCGGCAGCATCTGATAAAGAAAATGAACTCGATCCGGATGACAATTTGGCACCTGCCCAAGATGAAAGATCCCCAGAAGAGCCTCAAGGTGAGAATAGTTCTGAGTTGGAGAAGAGGGTAGGAAAGGAATTGAAGAAAGCTGCGAGGAAATTCAAAGAAGTCGATAAGTGGGAGTTAGAATTTGAAGAATGTGAGGCGAGTAGTGATCAACTTGCTCGATAGTTATTTTTCACGATTGGCAAAGATATGTGGCGTCAACAAATTTGTTTTTGCTTACGAGGGGTAAAATGGAGGGCATAAGGACAGCGAGGAGTTGGGGTCATGAAATGCAAATGTCTTTACGAGTTTTATCCACAACATTGTATTAGAAGCTTACTTTAAAAGTCGGAGATTTTGCGGGAAGGGTGCAGCTTCTCTGGAAATACAACTTTTATCACTGGCCCTTCAAAGTAGATACAGATGCCTTGATGGCTGGATGCAGGCAGATTTTATGTGACTGCTCACTATGGTTTGTAGCTTAGGTAGCTCCCTCTTCTCGTCGCCATAGATGATACGATACTTGATGCAATGGATATGAATCTTAAACATTCCGTCTATTATTCTGTGATAACTGAACTTGTGCTTATATGAATACCAACAGAGCAGTACCAGACCTGGAGTCTACAGCTGTATATCTAGAGCATAGAATACGTGGCTATGAGATGGAATGGTTTATGGGCACAGTGCACTGCAGAGGCATGAAATCTAACAGCATCATTGGGGCCGGGAGGCGCGGCTATTTCTGGACCCATTTGATTATTCTGTGTCAGCCGAAATTCATAGGTGATGAAAACTAAAACAAGGTTTAAAATGTGATCGGAAATATTCTTTTTCGCACCAGTCTACAAACATGTTAACAAAAACCAAACTAACATCCTCATAGCTATGAGAATTCTCCACCTGACGATATGCAACGAGTACGCTGTAAGCTGCGTTGAGTGAGTGACCTTGATCATATGCTCATTCCATTCTATTCCGAGAGACCCCCTCCTACCTATAACCAGTCAGTACTGGAATCAAGTACGACTTCCCTGATGCCCTCTCTTA